ACATTCAACTATTGCGTAAATTAGTTTTTTTTCAATTATTTCCATAACATTGTAAAAATCTCAGAATAAATTCTTTTAAATTACATTTAAACTATATTTTAAGACTAATTTAAACATTATAAGAGAAAACAGAATCAAATCAAATTTCACCCACCCCTTTCCACTATATTGGTAGACCTGGCCTCTGAAGAACAGGTCTACCCTCCCCTTTTCACTATATTAGTAGATCTGGCCTCCAGAGAAGAGGTCTACCCATCAGAATCTGCTATATTGTTAGACCTGGCCTCCAACTGTTGCCTTGTGCTGAGCCTTAGAAAACATACCAGCACATTGGGGGTGGGGTGGGGGCGGAGGGGGAGCTCTTGCAGTCTACTTTGTTATTTTTTTAGTGAAATATGACAACCAGCATTACAGCTCAAGTGTAACAGAGGAGGAACAATCACTGTCAGAACCCTGCCTAACCTAACTAACAGGAAGTTGCTTAAATGTTATCAACCTGCCCATCCCACTTTTCCCTGTGACTCAAGGCAGCTTACAAATCATACTGAAAAGCACAACAGGGTTGTGCAAAAAAAAAATCATTTTCCACGGCTCCATTGTAGTCTGTGGGGAGCATTATAGTCAATTGGCCACATGGGCTATAATGGAGAATCAATCTGGGGGTATTTGAGGCTCTGTGGGGGGAGGTTAGCTAGGGGCATCAAATTTGCAGCATGGGTGCTGCTGCCTCTCCTCAAAAATCCCCCCAAATTTCAAAAAGATTGGACCAAAGGGTCCAATCCTATGAGCCCCAGAAGGAGGTGCCCCCATCTTCCATTGTTTTCAATGGAGGGGGGAACTGTGTGCAGGAGCAGAAACCTCAGAGCTAGCATCTAAAATGTTGTGTGCCAGCAGCCTCAGCGCAGCTTAGGTGGAACTATGGTTGTGGGTGGAGATAAACCCAGTTTGCTCTTTTTCACATATTGTATTATAAAATTTCATAATCTGGCAGCTGATGCCTAGGAGAATTAACAGGGTCACACTCCCCCATCTATATCCTGGTGTAGGTCATACACTAGGGCAACCAAGGCTGTTTCAATCAAGTAACCAGGCCTGAAACCAGACTGGAATGTATCCAAACAATCCACTTCATTCAGAATCCCTGGAGTTATCCAGCCACCATTCATTCAATCAGGTTGCTGAAGAATGGAACATTTGAGCCTGGGTAATAGTTACTGAGATCTCTTTTTTAAATCTTATTTCTGCATTATGAGGATCCTGTGCGAATAACAAGAGAGGGAATCTGGCAGGGGAGAATCCCTTGACAGTGCTATGCCCCCTGGTATCTTCAATATATTTTTCAAATGCCTGCATCCAGCCAAGCTCACCTTAAGTTTTTGGAGAGTGGTAGCAGAGAATGAGCATGGGTGGGGAGACTATTCAGGACAGGCAGGGGAATATATATGATGGAATTTGGAAAATAGCTACTGAATACTTAACCCTCCCCTCTTTTTAGGTACTTTGAAGAATCCAGAGCCTGCAAGGGGCATGAGGTGAGGGGCAAGAGAAAAAAGGGCTCTTTAACTGTGGTCTTGTTCAGCTTTATGGACTCTCATGCTTGGATTGGTGCAAGAAAAGGAATCCTGTCTATCTGCCCAGAAAGAGAATGGTTGCGAGTGACTGGATTCATCCTGTGCCATCCAGACTTTGTATGTGTGTGTGTGTGTGTGTGTGTGTGTGTGTGTGTGTGTGTGCCACTGCTGAGATAATGCTGCAGTGTAAACTGCTTAGAGTTTGTATGTTGCTGAGAAAGGCGATATAAAAAAGTACACATAATAATAATATAACTGAGCAAAACTTTTTTCTCTGGTGCTGAAACAAAAAAGTGGTGTTGTACAAACCAGATTAGATATATATGGAGAATATGGTCCAGTACATAGTTCATATTTAGTTCACATTAGCTGTCTGTACATAGGACAAGTAGAGCATATTTCCCATTCAGGTCTTGCATATTTCTGAGTCTTCCAAAGATCCCTTTCCACAATTTTTCACACCCAACACGATAGGTTTATTTGAACATACTTTGATGTCCTTTAGTTCAAAATGTTCTGCCCTTCAATTTAGAGCTGTGGTCTGTCTTTCAGTCTTAGTAGGGGTGATGGTGAAAGGGTCTTCAATACAAAATGTGGAAGAACAGGGAAGGCTCTCCGCTGTATACCTGTAGAAAAACACACAGCTTCCATAGACATAAAAAGTACAGGGATTCCGATTCCTTTGTCTGCAAATGGGACTCCTTTTAAAAAAAAAATACCATGCCAATATTTCCTTGGAGGGGAAAATTGAGGCTTTTCATTAAAAAAATTAAAAAACGCATTTCAAAAATGCAGATATAGCCCAGAATTATCACTTCATATGGAGGATGATGGAAAGCTGAGGCTGAGAATTGCTTATGAGAACCATACAGATTAGTCCAGACTCATTCTCACAGTGCAGATGGGGCTGGGTCACAACAGAGAGACAGCACTTCACAACAAGCCTTTAATGTAATCCGGCGCTATTGTCCATGTAACAGAGTCCATGTAACAGAGGGTGAGACTTAAGAGTCAGGTCTCACTTCATCAGATGCATGAAGTGAACGTGCATAGCAGAACTGTTTATATTGGAAGCAACAGAAAGGCAGAACGGTGACATGAACTACTTTCACAAGTAGTACCCATGGGGCTAAATCCCATTAAATCGACATAACGTTGAAAATAGATGGAAGCGCAAAAAGTAGTTGAAAATAGATGGAACCCCCCACGCGCGTCCTCCTCCCCCACCCCAACCATCTGTCTGCAGCAAAAGTCAGCATCGTTAAGTCGTTACTTCTCCCATCTTTCAACTGAACACAGAGGTTAAGCGGTGTGCAACTTGTGTCACCGCTCGTTCGCATCCACGGCCACATCAAACTTCAATCGAACGGGAAGGCCACATACAACAGGAAACAAAGGAGTCCCTCTTACCCTCATCCCCTACTCTAGCTCTATGATAATAACAGCCTGAAAGATGGAGGGGTTTCCGGGAATGATGTCACCAGACCAGGCGGAAACTGCAGGTTTGGGGGGAGGGGGTTGTGTGGAAGTGTGTGAACGGCTGGGTAAGGGGAGTCACGGAAATCGGTGAGCCCGTGGGGGGAGACGCCGACTAGCAACTGTCCAAAGGATTGAGCTGTCCGGTCTCCGGCCACATGTGTCCCTGGCAGGCAGGCAGGCAGGCAGGCAGGCAACGGAGGCAAACATCGAGCTCGAGGGAAGGGGTGGGGGTGGGGTCGCGTCGCCAAGAGGCGCCTCGATCTCCTGCCAGCCTTCGGCCTAGGAAAGCGCCGCCTCGCTGGAGGCCTGATCGACGCGCGTAGCAGATTGCGGTGAGAGACTTCTGAGGTGGCAGAATAGGCGCCGCCGCTGCTTGATGGGGGTGGGGGGCGGACTGCCGTTTGTGAATGTTCCCCCCGTATAAATTCAGAGGGATTCGTGTATTGTAGCGGACATAAACAGGAGACTTGTGGCGCCTTAAAGACCAAGAAAACATATTCCAGTATAGGTTTTTGTGGATTTGAGCCCACTTCTTCAAATAAAATGAGTGGATAAATGACATGAAATGACGGCATAGTGAGGATTTACTTATTGTAACTGAAGAAGCGGGCTGCAATCAACGAAAAGTTGTGCTGGAATAAAATGTCACTCCAGCCTCCTGTTTGTACTCCCTATAAAAACTCTGTTCAAGTAGGAAACGAGCACAGGGGAGAAAGACTAGTCTCACCTGTCTCTACTAATTTTCTGTTTGCATTACTTTTTTTTTTAACACAGGTGAATGTTTTAAAAATGGTATTTCCTCACCTGCACTGTAAAGTGATCCTGTTGGTTTAGAAGTCTTTCATGTTATACCTGCCTCATGGGGCACATGTGTAGACCAGCTCTCGGCGGAGCTGTTTTGTATCTGATATGTTTCTTATGCAAAATGCACTCCTGTGATTAGGAGAGCTATGTGTACCATTGCCATGTTTTATTTATTTATTTAACTTAAATATCTTACTTCATTTTTATGCCACCTTTCTCCCCAGTGGGGGGACAGACCATTATAGGTAGTTCTCTCCTCCGTTTTATCCTCACAGCAGCCCTATGAGGTAGGTTAGGCTGAAAGTGGGTGACTGGCCCAAGAGCATTTAGCAAGCTTCCATAGCAGAATAGAATGTTTCAATGAGCCCGCTCATGGCTTCTCATATGTGAATAACTATATGTGTGTCATTGTCCCATGTGACAATTTACATGTGGCTTCCATGCTTTTTCCTACATAGCTGTGTTCTCAGTGTAGCAAGCGTGGTATGAACTCTGTGCCTCTTAACTCTTTCTCCTCATTGAAATTGGGGAAGTGTTGTCCTTTCCTGCCTATTCCTCCAGTTCCCCATTTGCTATGGTACTGAAATTGGTAACTTTTTTTCCTAGTTTCTTAACCACAGTTGTTTACACTACTGAGGCCCCGTTCACACGGAGCATTTCCCCCGCTGACGGCACGGAGTATCCGGGTGCGATCACACGGGAACATCTGGGAGGCGTAGCACTTCTGTGGCGAACCCGTGGCAAGCAGCTGAAACTGCACATTAAAAAACTACCACAACGAAGGTAGTGGCAAACGCTTTGCCACGGGCTGCCTTTGAAAGCCTCCTGGTGTGATCGTGCCGGCGCGCGGCTTCCTCCCCCGTCGTCCTCTTTGCTGCGGGGAAGCCGCCGTCATGTCTGATCGCATAATAGCGCATCAGACTGCGACTGCGCAAATAGCCGCCCCCCCCCCCCGCATTTTCCGGCACGTCTGACCGGGACCTGAGTTAGCTTTGTCAATCCTTTCCAGTGGTCTGGCAAAGTAGCTAGTCAGGACAAACAGGGCAACTTTTGATCCCCTTACTAGAGGTGATTACTTGGCTTGTGTTCCTTGCTGGGCCATGTTGACTGTCTCTTGCTTCATTTGCATTGTAGCTGGGCAGCAGCATGGCAACCCAGAGCTATACATCACTGCAAGATTTGATTCGAGAAGACTTTTTGACTTGCAGAATCTGCTATGACCTATACGTGGTGCCCAAAATCCTACCATGTCTGCATAGTTACTGCCAGAAATGCCTGGAACCATTGGTGGAAAATGGGATTGTGCAGTGTCCTGAGTGTCGCTTACAAACTGAGGTCCCAGGAGGTGCCACTGGCTTGAAGTCCAACTTCTTCATCAATGGTCTGCTGGAGCTGTTCCAGATGAAGCACAACAAGGACCTAGAGTGCTCAATCTGCTCTAATGCTCAGAAGGTTGTGGCTGCTACTGCCCGTTGCCTGGACTGCAAGGATTTTCTGTGTCAAATGTGTTCTCAGGGCCATTGCTGCTCCCGACTCACGCTGCATCATAAGGTGGTGAACCTGGAAGAGTTTCTGGCTGGGCATTATGACACTGAAGTGAGATTCTTGCAAGAGCTGTGCTGCCAAGATCACCCACAGGAGGCACTTCGCTTCTTCTGTGACACCTGCAGTGTACCCATCTGCAGAGATTGCCGCATGCTGGACCATTTCCAGCACAAAGTGGTCTCCATGGCCAATGCTGTGCAGCGGGAAAAGCCCTCTGTGGAGCAGCTGATCAAAAGCCTAGAGGGAACTATTACCTGCATCTCTGAGCAAGAGAAGGTGGTTGAGGAGGCAGTGAACAAACTGAAAGCGAAGGGAGAACTGATCAAGAACACAATCTGCAACTATGTGGAAGATGTCACTGCTTATATCTTTGCCCAGAAGGAGGATGCTCTGGCACAGCTAAATGTCTTCCTGACTCAACAAATGGAGGGGCTTAGTGTAGCACAAAAGGAGCTGCAGAGCCAGAAGGACAA